GTAGGTGGGTGGTGGTGGCTGGAAGAGGGCAGTCATGGTTGGGTTTATGCTGAAGAGGCAAACTGTGTACTTTGTGTGTACATCTCTGAGGGTAAGGTTCTTATTTGAGGGAAGCATTTTGATGGGCATTTGAAGAGTAAGTATTGCACTACTTTACCTTTGCTTCAGTCTTGGATAATGTATATGAGGGTTGAAATTAATGACTAACAGCAGTGTGGGACTACTAGACAGCACCCTTTTTTACAGTCTAGAAGGCATGGTTTCCCATAGAGTCCTGGTCATATTGTCCTCTTTCTCACTTTGTGTGTCTCAGGTGCCCCACGCCTTTTTTTGAAAGACTAACACTAGACCATTCATGCAATGTGTCATTTTTACTAACCAACTAATGTACTAACACCCTAACGACTCATCTTTGCTTTTAGTTATTTTAATTAACAATCGTTCTGTTCACGATTTTTTAATTTCCTTTCTTCCCCCTTTTCCGCAAAGCACTCAGGCATTGGACACGCTATGGTAAACAAACTACATTGTCTGGTAGATATCATTCTTATTGTCTCTTTTTTTGGGTTTGCCGTGTGTTACCTGCCTTTTCCTTCCCCTATCCCCCTCTTTTTTCCCCCTCCTTTATACTTCCTTCTTCCTTAATTTTAATTTCATTGAAAACACTCCCCCCCACATTTTTTCCTCCTTTTTTTTTCTTTCTTCTTTTTAATGGAAAGATGAACAACAAAAGCAACTAACACAACTCTTCTGGAAATGGGGTTTGGACATTTCATTGGTTTCTTCATTTCCCTCTTTAGTTCTTCTTTTCCATTCCAGTGATGAATTGTTGGGTTTTTTCTCCCTTGCTTTTTGAGTTTAGCTTCTCTCTTTTGCTTTGGTTTTCATTTTGCTTTTTTTTCTCCCCTTTCATTTTTTTGTTTTGTTTTCTTTTTTTTTTACTCTGAAGGTCTCTAGCTCAGAACCATTGCAGGGCCTCTAGTCCATGGTGGTGATGGCTCTCTTTTTCTCTCATCATTTTGTTGTGGCAACGGCTATTACAGGCAAACTGGCCAGAGTTGTCCTTCTGATTTCTCCCCCTTCCCTCTCCCTCTTTCTCTCCTCCTCCTCCCTCTTGCTCTCTCTCTCACTTTCTCTCTCTCTCTGACCTCTACCTGCCGTGGCCGACAGGAGCTCAGCCGGTTGTTTGTTTCAGTACACACTCTGCATGGCATGTCCACGTCTGGTGACTCGCCTGCCTTCTTCTGGCCTCGATCTATTTTCCTCCATCTTCCCTTTAAACCACTAACAACATCTAAGCAAAACTCATTAAATTCACTTGCTCCTCTCCCTCCCTCTACTTTCCATTCCACTTCATCCTCCATGTCTTTTGGGTTAGAGGTTTTGGGGACGTTTCTGTTTGATTTTGAGTTTTTTATTATTTTGGGCTTTGTTCAGTATTTTTATTTTCGTTTGCATGCAAGTGTGAAATAGTTTTCTGTCTCTCCTTCTCCCTCTTTCCCGTTTCTCTCTTTTTTCCTGTCATCTTTCTGGGCTCCAGATATATTGGCATGACATGTTGAAGTGCAGTGTGTGCACGCTTTATATTTTCTTTCTTTCTTTTTTTCTTTCTCTCTCATCTCTGCTTTTCTAGCATTTGTTGGTGTGTGGTTGATTTTTTTTTTTTTTAATTTTTTCTTTATTTATTTTCTTTTTATTTGTTGATTATGAGTTAGTTTGAAATCTTTTGGGTTAGAGGTTTTGGGGACGTTTCTGTTTGATTTTGAGTTTTTTATTATTTTGGGCTTTGTTCAGTATTTTTATTTTCGTTTGCATGCAAGTGTGAAATAGTTTTCTGTCTCTCCTTCTCCCTCTTTCCCGTTTCTCTCTTTTTTCCTGTCATCTTTCTGGGCTCCAGATATATTGGCATGACATGTTGAAGTGCAGTGTGTGCACGCTTTATATTTTCTTTCTTTCTTTTTTTCTTTCTCTCTCATCTCTGCTTTTCTAGCATTTGTTGGTGTGTGGTTGATTTTTTTTTTTTTTAATTTTATCTTTATTTATTTTCTTTTTATATGTTGATTATGAGTTAGTTTGTAATTAATTTTTTTTGGGTGGTGGGTGTGTGTCACTCTAGGTACATGGCATGCCCTTCCATAATGTATTGAAAGTGAGATCCCTCCCTCCCCTCCCTGAATGCATGATTGTCAGTGTGCCGTGAGCAAAAGAAACATAAAAAATAAAAAATACCAACCTCGTCTTCATTAGTGTTTGTTTGTTTATTTTTTTTTTTATTTTTTTTTTTTACTAACAACCATAACTAACTGTAATCATTAAAATAAATACTAATTAATCATAAAATCAGCTAATATGAGAAATCTTTTTCAAGGACAGTTCCATTTTCTGGCCTGAATAGATGGAAAGCATCTTGAGGGGTAGACTGCCGAGTCAGCCTGGCAGTGCTGATACACCAGAAAGGGGAGAAACAGATGCTGCAGCCATTTCCATTGTGGGTGAAGCAGACCAGAAAATGGAGCTTGGCTGAACTAAAAAATATACAAATCAAATATCAGCAAAATCCTTAATAAAACTGACATAAAAATATAGGGGAGGTAACTTCTTGTACTCAAGATTGTAAGGTCATTGCTGGGATTTTTCTTTTTTCATTATATCCCTTGAACAGGTGACAATCTCTGTGGATGGCATCCTTACCACCACGGGCTACACGCAGGAGGACTACACCATGCTGGGCTCAGATGACTTCTTTTATGTGGGAGGGAGCCCCAGTACTGCTGATTTACCTGGCTCTCCAGTAAGCAACAACTTCATGGGCTGTCTCAAAGAGGTAACTGTTTCAAATTAATTCATTTTTCTGTGCTTTTGGTTTCTCAGAGTCACTGCTTTTCACCTGCCTTTCCGTGATGCTGAATTTTATGCTGGTACTTCAACAGCTCTGTAAAGATAAACATCTCATCCAGCTGGACAGAAGGCATCAGCCACAAAACTCATGAGTTTATGGCCAGAATCAGATTTTAGTGCTTGGATTACAGAAAAATTACCCATGGTAGTGGCAGAGGTGTCTTCTGCAAGCTGTTAACCATTCAGAAGAAAGCATTACAATCTTCTAGGCACTAAGGCAATAATCCTTTTTTTTTTTTAAAAAAAAAAAAAAAAAAAAAAAGAAGAAGAAAAAAAGAAAAAGATAAATGGCCCTTCATTACTCAGCAGCAGTTTTGGGTGAAAAAATGATAATCAGAAATTTTTAAAGAATATTTTTTAAGGGCCTGGATTTCACCTGGCAATATAGTTAGTTGTCAGTTTTCTAGAAAGATACAGAGTTAAAATGAACCAGAAAAATGAGAGTTGAAGGTAGCATGAAATATATGTATATATTATGAGAGGACAATACAGCATGAAGGTATAGCAGAGACGTAGCAATAACGTGGCAGGTGGATTTGAGGTGTACTGTGTTGGTAAGCAGAGTTGCTGCATTGGTGTGGAATATCTAGCTGGCTTCCAGTACCATCTTGTCTCATGCTGGCTGGCTGCCCAGGTCACATAGTTAATCCACAACGTTGAGAAAATCCACACATGAGTAATAGTGATTGCACTTCCCAACTAGCAGCTGGAACCAGAATAGTGTTTCTTGGAGAAGAAAAAAAATAAATATCTTGTAACAGAATTTGTGATGATCAATGAGATTAATGGTGATACAGATACTGACATGTCCGAAATATTTTGCAGAAAGCTTACTGAAAAACAAGCTTAAGTTTTCTGTCAGTCAACTTCCTAGCAAGCCTGGAATAAGAGTTTCTGGCAAGAATTTTCTCTCTCATGTTGTGATTCTGTACTAATACTCTTTTTCACAGGGTGTGGCCAGGTGGGTCTAATTTTCTTTGCAGTCTGGACGGTTGTCATAATATGTTCTTTGTATGAACATTAAATATCAGAGCTGAGTTTTCCTACAGGAGTCAGGGAAACAGTGATGCTGAGCTGGATGCTGTTATGTGGTTGTTACTGCCTGACAAGTTGCCAGCCTAGTGATGCTTGATTTGTGGTGTCAGGGGTTGTTTGTTATGTGCCAGTCCTTTGATGTGAGCAATAACTGTCAGAGACTGGAGCTGCTTTCCTGCCTGACCTCTGGATTAGTTAAGGAGATGCATATACGCTGGAAAAGATCATGTGAGTATCTTACATAGAAAATGAAACTGCCCTGCTGAATACAAACTGTCACACAGAGATAAAATCCTTCTGTTTTCATCTATAGAGCCTTGGGCCTGATTTTCTTAGGCACTGAGCATCCCAGTTTGATTGAAATCAGGAGGAGATACAGCTTCTTAGTGTCTCTTTAAATCAGGATCTTAATTTTATTTATGGATGCTATGAACATAACGCTTAGCAGAGGCCATTTTTATGTGTGCTTTAAGCCAAGCCAATGGAGCAGAGAAACCAGTGACAAGAAAATCTTCAGCAGCTTTATTATTTATGTAATCATTTGTATGCTATTAGCTTGCACAATGTGCTAAGAGCTGCTTACATAGCCATCCCAGACTCATAATGCTCTGTGAGAAGAAAAATCTAAGCAACCACTTAAGAATGAGAGGAAGAAGAAAACAGATAATCATAATGTGCTTTGTAATCTTCACTTGACTAGGCAGTGACAAGAGATGTATATGAGCAGCTGTCTCAACTTAAAGACAGGCTGCTGATGGCTGGGTTTGAGCTACAGTCCGCTTGATAGCAACCTGCTCTCAGTAGTGCTCCAGTAATTTTTTCAGCTGCTCTGCAAATGTGCCCAAAATGGGCCTTGCCTTGCCTCTGAGCATAAACCCAGCATACAGTATTCACTAAACATAAGCGTAGTGTGGAATTTGCAAGTGGAGGAGGCAGGGAGCTGAGATTAGTGGAGAAAGGGCAGCCCTAGATGACTGCCAGAACCCTGACAAAATGTATGTGTGCTTTTGTAACACCTGTACCTGCACAGCAGGGTCTGACCAGAGGAGACAGCCTGCATAGTATCAGAAGGGTTCCCATGGCATATGTTGTGAGTTATTCTCAGACATCAAAGCAGGCACTTTAAGTAGAGCTTTGGATGAGTTGAACAGAAAGTAGTTTGCCTTATGAAATTGAGTCCAGGGTTGGTTTCCCCTTCTTTCCTTTGCTAGGGATGAAAACACTGATGGCAAAGTTAGCAGAATCAACCTGAGATCCACCTTGAATTAGGGGACATTTCTTCTGAGTGTTTTATTTATATTTACTTCTGAAATGCCAGGGTGCATTTCAGTGCATATCCGTGCAATGTAATGCAACATGGTATGAGAGAAACCCGAGCTTAAGAAAGCCAGAATGCCTGTAGGGGATCAGTCTGACCCCGCCTGGAGCAGCCAGCTTTGGTCCTTAAAGAGGAAGAACTGTGTTAGTGCCATGCTTGTGTGCCTATAATATTTCTAGTTCCAGAACTGGCTACACTAAACTTGGATTTCTATGTAGCATATCACTTTATTCCAGAATTAGATCCCTATTGGTTATGGTGTAAATTTTTTTCTCTGTGGCCAAGAAGGATGCTTAGTCTGTCATCAGCCAGTACTGGAGAAGCTTTTAATAAAAATGTTCTAAGATAAGAAACTTAGACAAAGGGGTAGGATAGACCATAATAGCAAATACTGTTCTTTTCAGTTTATGCTTTCTGGTAGAGCAATGCTCTTTTTGCCTTTCAAAGCCCTAGCTATATAGTTGCCTGTTCCCAGAGACATGGCATGTCCTGAGTGGTTATCACTGCTATTTGCAATGGTGAAAAATATTCTGACAAGCCCTGTATTGATCTCTTGAAGGTGAAAGCAGACTCATCTATTTCTACTGCTCGGCATTTGTTGGGGGATTCCCCTAGGGGTGTCTCCCTTTCTTAGGAAGGCAAAGGCTTTGGGGTGAAACTTTCAGCCTTCCCCCTATAATCTCTTTTATTTCACTGGGACAGCATCAGCCTCACAGTTGAGCAACCAGACTGCTCACATGGGAGCTAAGAGAGCTCCTTGACTGAGCATTGACTCCCCACTTCCTCTGAGATTACACACAGGTGCTGAAGTGCAGTGGGGCAGAGTGCCCAATGACCCTCTCTGCCTCTTTGCAGCTGGGAAGGACTTCTCCATTCAGCTGGTGTTGGTGGTGGGAGGAGGAGCAGCTCTGACAAGGCAGACAATTCATGTTGTCAGAGTTTAAGCCTTGACAAGGAGGAACTGGAGTGCATAAGAGTGTGTTTCTGGCAGGGAATTAAGGGTCTCAGGTCTCTTCTGCTGTAGTGTTTAAACAGGCTGTGGTGAAGGTAGTAATGCTTTATTTGAATTCTATGAGGTTATGTTTCCTTCTTCTACCACAGAATAGATTCCCCTACCTCTTCTTTTCCTTGTGGCTACAGGTTCTGATTGAAGAGAGTCCACTAACTTGTTAGCAGTAATATACCTAAGTCATAAAACCAAGTGCTGAATGTGTATTTCATTTTGATTTTCTTCTCCATTTTCATCAGAATTAAAGATGTCCCAATGACTGGTAGCACTGTTTGTTTTATGTTTCTCTGTAGCTGTCCTGACAGTGTTGCAGCATAGCTGACACTATAATGAAGGAGCAAGACTGGAAAACAGAAGTAATTTTTCCCATGAAAATTTTAAAAGGCAGAAGATACAAATAGGGCAGTACACAGACATCAGACATGGACATTGCATAAAATATAAGGCTTTCTGGAGCTTCAGTCTTAAAATAAATTGTTCTAGAGAATCTCTGGGGGGAAGCTGATGCATTTCCTATAATGGAGGAAACCAGATATAGAGATAGAACACAAGTAAGCAACACTCTTTTTCAATGGGTGTCAGGAAAGGAGTGGTAGTACCTTAAGAGTCAGTGATCGGATGAACAGGGAGAAGTACTGCCTAAAAGTGGAAAGGGAAAAGGATCCATTGTTAGATTTTAGAGACACCCATATGGCCAGAAGGAAGTAGGACAAGTAAGGTAAAGATGAACAGCTATGTTTTGCATGTACTGGAAAGTCTCAGGGAAGAGGTCCCAGTAATCAGGGGTGGAGGTGGAGGGTGTCTGAGTGGGATATTTAGCTGTGTAGGCAAAGAGAGAAAACTGGATTTCAGTCTCCAGTTATTAGGGAAGGGAGAGAATCAGACTGTTTCCTGGGCTCTGTTAGGAAGCCAGCCATTCAGATTTTATTTACTTGGAAAAGTGTTTAGATGGTACAGATGGAAATGCTTTAGAAGAGCCTAAGGAGGTCCCTAGAGAATGGATGTGCATGATACAATTTATGAAATCTTCACATTTTTCTATCAACTCTTTATTAAAATCTCAGTTCTGAAAAATGTTGATTGGTATTAACAGCTTAATGGAAGCAGTGAGATTTGCATATGGGTGGAATATAGCAGAAATTATTGCAGGGGTCAGGCACCATCTGGCCCTGATGGGCAAAAGCTGTAAATGCTTAGATCATTTCTGTCTGCAGTTGAACTGCTAGGAGCCAGATTTCCAAATGGTCCATGAGTGTGCCCAGTTGCTCTATGTACATGTTGGATGCTATGTGTAAGCTGGGCCTTTTGAAGGTCGATTTGCATATGTAATAATGATACAATTTCTGTTTGGGGATGAGTTTATCTGGTTGGAAGGTCACACTGGGGAGGAGGCTGAAGGTGCAGATATATGGTCTAAAGCATGGAGGCAGACAAAACCACCTTGAGTGTGAAGAGAGCAGATGGAGGAAGTTGCAGTTGCAAGAGCCCATCCCTAACAGGGAGATGAGATAGCCCAAAAGCATTTGGATGTCCAAGATCCTCTTCCAGAGCAGTGATTTAGCAG